GCACCTGGAGCACCTCCTCCTTCTTCACTGATCTTGGTGTTTGCAGAGTTGTTTCTCTCACGTTTTCTCACTCTCCAGCTGCAGGTGTGCAGGTGTTTTTTCCCCCTTCTTAAATCTGTTCTCCCAGAGGTGCTGGCATCCCCACTGATAGGCTCAGCCTCGGCCAGCGGTGGCTCTGTCCTTGCGCCGGCGGGCACTGGGTCCATCAGACTTGGGGGCAGTTTCTCACAGAAGCCCCCCCTGTACTGCCTCCTTGCTGCTGACACCTTGCCCTGCCAACCCGACACATGTACAACGTGCTTCACCTTAAGCCTCCTGTATGTCCGAGCTCTTTTCTAGACGCTGACATCCGAAAGCACTTCAACCTGTCTTTCTGTCCATCAGGAAGTCAGTCCAAGTTCAGCAAATGGAAGGAGGCTCCACACGTGTTGTTTTACAGTTTGCAATTAATTCTTCTACTGAATTCTCACGGTGGTGCCTTCCTAAGGACAGCATCCTCGTCCCGCGCAGCGAAATGATGTGATTACCTCAGAAGATTAGAAACATGCTACTCCCCAGACACAGACAAAGGACTTCTGGAGACAGGGGTGTGGTTTCACTTACTCTGATTTACCAGATACCTACCTTGCCCACAAGCTCCAACTGCTTCTGGAAAGAAAGCAGGGAAACACTCGTGCCCCTCCCCCTACAACTGTATTCCAAGCAGAGAGCTGGGCCGTTCCTCTGCCGCAGCTCTGCTGCTTCACTCCTATGGGACTCCTGCTTTAGAAGCTATTTTATAATCTTCAAATTATGGCTCGCAGCTTCGACAATCCGATTTTGCTTTGCTTGATCTCCCCTCCACACATACACTTTGCAAAAAGTTTACTGGAAAAACGCCCATCCTTTCTGCTGAAGCTTTCAGCATCCCCAAGCCATCTGTGCTGCGAGGACAGGAAACACGGCAGCAGCTCCTCCAGAGCCCAAGAGCAGCATCCCAGCTCCACATCTGGTCCTCTGGCCCACGGGAACCTAATGCTCTAGCAAAGACCTTGTTGCTTCTGGGCAAACAGCCCTTCCCCTTGAAAATCCACCTCTAATTCTTTTAAGCAAAAGACTCCTGAATACACGAGCACCAACCAGCTCTGTCTTTGCATCCTGCAAGCTTCCGTTCTTCCCAGGTGAGGGAGAGAGCAGCACTGCTCTAAGAACCCTCACTTTCAGAAAGTAAGGGTCAGAAAACAGAAAACAGGATGGATACCAAAAGGAAAGACACTTACAGAAATACTAAAAATATCTTCTGTGAAATAAGCAGCTTTCCCAGGAGGTTGTCTTGCATCTCGAGCACGGCACAAAGCACAGCACTGGTGATACTCTCACTCCCTGTGCTGCCCAAACACTGACACAGACCAACCCTCCTCTTCATCAAAGAAAACATTCATCTGACATTAACCCGAACGTCCTCTCTGGTCACATCCCTGAACCCGCTGCTGCAGGCAGGTGGTTTGTATCAGTCCTTCTGAGCGAGCCGCTACGCTCCTGGCAAAGAGAAAAGCTGCTGAACGGCACCTGCCAGCACCCTGCCTCATGAGCCAAGGCCCTTAAGAACTCCCAATCTGTATTTTTAGCATCGCTCATGCTCATTAAGATCATCTGAGATGACCCTGAGAGCTCCCCACAAATCAGAAAAGAATCGTCAACATCAGCCAAAGGAACCCACTCCTGTCTGTATTTACAGCTTATGTCACAGTTATGGCCATGTCACCTAAAGCTTTCTTTTCAGATGAAAAATTACACAGGTACTTTAGGATGAGCAAGAGCCTGACTACCCCACAGAACGTCCTACAAACCAGTAAAGAACAATTAGGTCTGATAACTACGTGAATGGGAAGCCAGCTGGAATAGACCAAAAGAAAATGCTGATTCTAGAAGACGCTTATCACTTGTGTGCAAGGGCAAGAATTCTGGATCAGGCCATAAAACGATGAGGCGGACGGCAGATGAGTAAAGCTACATTAATGAAACAATGGGATGAGCTCCTCAAAGCTACCTAATGGTAAATGCAAGGCAGAATACTTCTGTTGAAAAGTAATTATTTCATGTTTACTGTAAGGCAAAGCTGTGCATATGAGCAATTACCCCAATAAATGGGTGAGCTGCAAGTTCCTACTCCCGCTAATCCCGTGGCAACCAATTCTTCTGGTCACACTCCTGTGCGTGTCTCACCGCTGGAGCTATTTTTATCCTGAAATGAAATGTATTTCTCTGCCTCACCTCAGCACTAATGTGACATCTTTTAAGTACATTTCACACTACGGCTTTAAACCCCACGGCTTTAAACAAAATCGGCCTATGGTTAAATTTTCATCGACATTAAACAAAATACAAACAGGCCTTCAGGATTCCTACCCTGAGGAGAGCATCCGCGCCGGGACAGGTGAAAAACAGCTGCGTCCATCTTCTGCACAAAAATCTCACTCGCAGCAGTTTCTCTACAGGCTTTACAGAAAGAGCCCTCACAGCCCTGAAAGGACTCGATTTATGGCTGATGACCTCATGTTCAGTCCCAATCTGCTCTCCTCTCTCCCCCTCACGCCCCGCAAAAGCTCTGCAAGAAGCACCTTTCACCTTAACTTTGCACTGCTGTGATTAAAAAAAAAAAAATCACCCTTTTTCTCCCAAGCCTTGTCTTGCTGCTGCTACATCCAACAGCAGCTGCAGACACTGCCCCAACAGTCCTGCCTCGAGTGTCCCAACTGACCGGTCACATTTATACTGGAGTCACTGGGAGGAAGGAGAGAATATCCACACAGAGTCAGTGAGAAATCCCCTGCAAGGACAAACTTCAGGGTTAGCTTTTCCTGTGAGGGAGGCTGGAATTCGAAGAAAAATACTGAAATCAGAAGTCGTGTACTGATCAGTTTCTAATGGAAAAGAATATCTGCATATTAATCCACAAAACTCTTACTGCACAAACCACCTTTAAGAAAAAAGGCTCTTATTTGAAAGCAATTAACTAAAAAAAGATAATTGAGCTAATGCAAATTTTTAAGCATTAATAAAAAGTCTGATCCCGAAAACTACACTTAAATTATTAATACAAACACTAAGTCTGAATAAAGGCTACCATGCAGAGCTCTGTGCATTTCATAAAACCAGCAGCAGTACTGTTAAAGCCCGCTTGCAACCCCCCACTAAAAGTCACAAGTCACCGTTCATTAAAAAATGCTCATTAACTCAGCTTTCCCTTGGCCAGGGGCTACACTACGTGTGCATATACAGCGCGGAGAGAAACGCCCCAATTAATCTTACACACATCTGCAGCAGGGGTGAGCGAGGGCTGGGCCAGCAGTTTCACTTTCCATATAAATCAGACCAAACTGGAACAGCTGAGCATTACCGCTGCCAGCCAGTGCCTGCCAGCTACTTGATGTCCTAAATTCTTTGAAACGCGGTACCCGAAGCTCTTTGCTAAGCAGGATACAGCAACGCTTCCAGCACGGGGATAAGCAGAAACAGCATCAGGTGCCATCATGTTAAGAGACTGCCCGTGTGGCAGCGCGTCGCCTCGTCAATGCGTAATTAGAAAATACCTGATTTATGCACAGCTACCCTCACGTGAACCTCAACAATTTGCTTCCAGAACTAAGCTTCCCGATCCACCGAAGAAACGTCACATAAAGCGAGGACCTAAGCACGTTCTGCCCGCAAGAGCCCACACCTTTTGAATAAGCACGTTTCGGGCAGCAAAGACCGAACGGGAAATGGAAAGGAGAAAGGAGGGGAGTGCGCCCGGTTTCGTGCCATCTAAGGAAGTTCTTCTGTCGGTAAAGGTTCTTATTATTGCCGAAAGTGTCACCACAATTCCTGAGCCCGTGGAGTCAGCGCATACACGCTGTGCGAGTGCTGAGGGGGAGCGCGCGTGTGGACGTGAGGGGTGTCATTCACTTTTGGCACAGCCAGGACTTTCGAGCATGTCACCCTCAACTGCAAAATTATCTATTTTCAGTATCATCACCAGCCTTAACACATAAACAATTTAGCGACCACCGGACTGTAAGTTACTTGGTTTTAAAGAGCAACGAGTCCCTCAGCAAGCTGAGGGTACGGAGATGTCCCAATGCGCATTTCAAATACATGAGACTGGTCTCAGCCCTGAGAGCCAAGCACACAGATCTTGCACGGAAACCTTGGTATTTCTGAAATTTCAGCTGAACAATCAATGTGCAACTTCAGGGATAAAGAGGAAAGACAGAGTAAGACTTTTTTTAAATCTCTAGCCAGGAAGCTTTCATTCCCAAGCTTACGTTGTTCTTAAAAATACTAGTATAACTATCAAAAAAGGCAACTGAAGTTAGCAAAAAAGAATAATCACAGTACTCTGCAGACATATTTTCAGAGGCACCAAAAGAGACATCAGAAAGAAGATGGAAACTTTGAACTTTAGCAATTTGGGCTCGATCACTACTGTTTGCAGTATATGCCCCAGGTATGTAGAACAACAGAGTTGCTGACCTCAAAAGGTTTGCATTAGTCTGATCCAACTTTCATTGGTGTCTACGAGTAATTAAACAAATTGAAGTGAAAGAAAGTCAAGGAAAAGTTAAGAGGCAAGTCAGCTGGCCACTTTTAGCAAAGAGGCAGGAATCTCACAGAAACCTTGCTTGCATTTCATCTTGCTGTGGTTAAAATTAACCTTTACGAAGCCAGGAAGTGGAGGGGAGAGCTTGCTGCACATACATGAACCTACACAGGGATTTCTCAGAGTCATTATTGACGGATGCCTTGAAGGCGTAACAAAAGAAAGACTCTAACGTTAAATAGTTTTTCCACTGTACCCTAAATGTTCATGTCCCAGGTGTACCAGAGCCAGATTTAACAGATAACCACATCCTGCAGACAAAACGTCACTCACATTTCTGAAGTCCAGTGTTCATCTGCGTGTAAGAAAGAAGCTGAAAGGAGAGGTCACCTGGTCCTGGCAGACAGGCCAGCATGGCAGACAGGCACTAACACAACATGGGGCATTCACTCCTCTGCACACTGCAACAACAGAGAGACAATTCAAAGTTATAATACAAGGAGGAACAGAGCAAAGAAAGCGGCAAAGAGCCATCCCTGGGTGAAGGCCTGACCAAGCACAGACGTGCAACCGCTGCTCCGGCCCTTACTGCGTCTCCGAGCGGCGGCGGAAACACTTCAAGCGGATCATCTGCAGGGTCAAAACCAAAACAGCCGTCTTGCTCTCCTCTGCTGCTCGACACACGGAGGACAGTCCATAACTCCATCCTCCAATTTCAAAGGTGGTTGTTACGAGCGGTGAAGAAACCACCATGATCCATGTTACTACACAAGTAAAGCACTGGCCATCTACCAGGTATAGCCAAGGCAAGTCCTCCGGAGAAATCCTGTCAACTGCTCTTTTACCTTGAATAAAAAGGCACGGCATGCACAAACTGAAGGCAAAGTATGCAGCGCTCTGCCTTGTGGCAAGATTAAGCTGCATGCTACAGCTTGTAATTTCTGTGGTCCATTAGGCTGCAAGATGAATGGCTCCAACTTCCTTCATTTCGCAGGAGATTCGCTAACCTGCACGGCTCTGGGTTAGACAAACGGCAAGACGTGCCTTCTGCACAAAGGAGCTGCAGAGGTGCCACCACCCTCTCTGCTGCAGAGGTTCCGCGAAACCAAACCCTGAGAGAACACATGAAGCACTAAAACTCTTTTTATATAAAAACTCAGCTACCCTCAAACCCCGTCATCAGCGTATGGATACATGGGGGGTTTCTAGCAACAAAGCTAACTCAGGCTCAAAGTCTCCCCGTGTTACTAGGACTAGAAAGAGAAATTCAAGTAGGAACACGGTCTCTAGAGGACCAGGCCATCTGGTCCAAGCCCCTGCTTAAATCCCGCCTTGTCCCAGCTACTGGGGCAAGCCACAGCCAGCCACGAGCACTGTAGAAAGCTCTAGGAAATGAGGTGGAGAAATCAGTTGACTTCTCCTCCTTGCCCAGATCTCCACAAGCTTAGCGCCACTATTCTGGGAGTGCTTTTGCCAAAACACCTACGAAGCAGCTAGAAAAGGCCTTGGGGCTTGTTACACGACCCCCCAAACATGGGAAGAGCTGAAGGCTTCCAAAGTCATGGGCTGATTTGATTTCAGTCGTTGTTTCACTAACCCCAGTTAAAACAACTGGGGAGGCATCTGAAGATCAAAAGGGGTGAAGCAGAAAGCTCAAATCAACACGAGAAGCCACGGCTGCAGAAACCCCGTCGAGGCCACCTCCGAAAGAGTTCTCCTGCCGAGGGCTGCACAGGCGACGTGAATGAAACCTTTGGATGACACCCAGCACAGCAACGTCAGCGCTGCTCGGGGACAGCACCACTGCTTCATGCTCCAGAGAGCTCCAAAAGCCGATTTCTCTGCAGGGACATTTTAAAGACTAATTTGAAACCTAACCTCTGACCACGGTCACGAGCCAGACCGCGCAAGGAGTACTTGCCCTAACACAGCAAACAGCATGGACTGAAAGCATTCCCGTAGCACAGCAATTGCTCGCTGAGTAGAATCCATTAGCTCCGTGTTTACAGGCATCTCCTTGGTTCAAAACGCAAAGGCTGCTTAAACCAATGGCCAAGGAATCTCGTGCAAATATTAATTTACCAAAACTTCTGCATCTTCACTGTGCGAGCGCTCTCAAAAGCCAAGTGAGCGTCGCTGAGCGAGCCCGTTGGGTGCCAACGCGACCAGCAACGGAAAAGTTTTGGGCACTGTCAGCTCGACAACTCCAAGCTACTGCCCATTCACCCAACCTGCCCAGAGGAACAGCGACTCAGTGCCCTGAGGAACCCACACACACACAACCTCAGCGAGCTGCAGGGCCCACAGCGCAACCACCAACAGAACAAGTTCACATCGCTCTCCATCCCTAGAAGACAGGATCGATCTGCACTACCAGCAGCCCAAGGTATGTAGTTGTAAAACCCTGTGAGATAAACTAAACTTGGATTTTCTTTTCACCTTCTGTAGGAGGTGGAGTTCTCAGGGTCTTTCAGAAGGTGTTCAGAAATGATGACCGAAGAACTGTCACACCCACAACTTCAAGGAATTACTTCAGGAACTGAAAAGTTGCTCGACCTTTATAGATGAGATTTATTCATGACTATAAATACACGACGTTCAGTGAAACTTCGCAAACAGCTTGTGGGCAGCAGTTTCTTGCCCCAAATTATGCCCAGCAAGACCAAAAAGACAAGACAAGAATCCAGCTCCTTTTAATCAGAAGACAAAAATCACTGTGAGTTGCCAGAGCTTTACCTGAGTAAGCAACAGAAACACTCGCAGTCAGCAAGTAAAAAAACCCCAGTAATTGTATTTTCCTTTTTTCCTCATTTCATCAACTTCAGAAGACTGGCAAAAACAAGACCTATTTCTCAGCGCAAAGCAGACAAACAAAATTAAAGAGCCGTCACTGCAGTCAGAAAACCATCAGCTCACATCTCTCCCACACTCACCTAAGCCTCTAACTTCCACTCCAGTAAGGTCTGACGCCAGCCCGAGATTACTTCCCGTCCCTGCTCGGTGTCTAAAATGTTACTTAACGGACGGCAAGCGTGTGGCAGCCCTGGAAGAGAGCAAAGCGCTCTGCAGCACCGCGCTCGGCGCGCCCTTTGACTGAACAAGTAGCGTTTCTGACAGCAAAACACGTTGAGGGTTTGCTCACCTGCTCCGTCATTAAGGCTCGTTACAGCCTCAACGCGGCGACGCTCTGAGCGAGCCTCTCGCTCAAGTGCCACGGAGCGGCTCAGCGCCACGCACGCAGCGATAAACAGGATAATGGCACATCAGGAGAGAGAACAAGTGATTAAGAGAGGTCACAGCATCCGACTCCGAATAGCCAAGCTCCTGAGAGGAGACAGCAATATTTCCTTGAAGGTCAAAACATGTATTTACAGAAGCTTTAGCTCCAATACAGAGAGTAATGTTTTAGAGGGGGCTATAAAGGCAAGTTGTTCCCGCAGGCGGATAATCATTTTAGGCAATGCCAAAGGTTCATGAAAGACTGGGGTGGCAATAACTGTTTTAAAGGAAATACTGGACTTAGAAAAATAATTTTAAGAAGCATAAAATAATTCTTTTAGCTTGATTTGCAATAACCAAATTGATGCCATCAAGGTCACTGCCGAGCATTAAAAAAAAATAAATAAAAAATCAGACTCACATAGAAGTGCTGACCATAACTCCCAACGCTGAATTCCATATTACAATTAAAATCTCCCTCCAATTTTAGTTCTCTGTGAAATTAATATAGTAATACAGATCTCAGTGTCTGAAAACGAATCCATTGAAAATAACTTCACAAACAAGCCCATTTATTTTTTTGTTAGAAATTAATACCTATTCTCTCTGAGATACTCAGTGTCTGACTACTACTTTCTAACCTGGCTCCTCTTTAGCACAAGCTAACTCAGACAGCTCCAGCACACCACCCAGCTGGAATGACCCCAAATCCCCCCAAACGGCCTGTATTTGGGATTGGGGTGAGCATTAATGGCTGTCTCGGACTGCTCTTAGTCCCCTCCTGCGCTCAGCTTTATTGTTTCCCATTAGTCCAGAGCTGGAATTAAACTGAATTTGGCATGTCAAGACTTCTTGCTCACAGACTTGGCTGCACGGCCGCAACTTGCACCTGCAAAGTTCCCCACGGGGCTGCTGCCCCAGCCCCTCGGAGGATGGGTTACTGGGGGAACTGGAAAGGACATAGGGAATTGGGAACCGAGGGGTTTCTGCGCTGTCCCAGGCTCTGTAACGCCGTCACCTAGACCAGTCAGCTGCAAACTGGAGAGCAAGGTGACCAGTTGGCTTTGGCACCCTGCGATGGAGCGCAGCTGTAAAATCCTTACCTTTGAAGTTTTTAAATTGTATTTGAATCCGATTCTGTGCACTGCCAAACACAGCGTAATGAGCTTTGTCTTGAAAATACATATATAAAAAGGTAAAGCACATTCCTAGAGGAAAATCATCTTTAGATTGGAATAAACAAATAAATACCCTTCTTTGAAGTGATTTTAATCTAATCTGGCTGCAGGATATAATCTTAACAGCACACGTGCTGCAGGACGTGCTATGAAACAGCACGTTTAGACACAAGAACTTTTTTTTTTTCCCCTCCTAGTCAAAGCATGTTAAGCTTAAAAGGGATTTGCAGTGCTTGGGACTTGGGGGTGATTGTCACATCCCCACGGTGACCGTCACATTCAGCCTTACCTGCACATCAGGGAGTTCTTCGGTTCCAGGCAGCGCAGTGTCCCCTGCACTGATTTTCAGAGTAAGTCCTCTTCCCACCAAGGCTCGCTGGGTAGGACAGAAGAACTCACCTCCCCTCTGCAGAGTTAAGAATCACTTCCAGTAAAACCTACCATGATATTGCCTTTCTGGATCAAAAATATATTTTATTTTGTTTTCTGGCTGATTATTCAAAGTTTAGTATTGCCTCTGCCAGAACCAGTGCTCCTCAAGCCAGGGGGTACTTTTTACAAGCTAGAGTAAAACCTAGGTGTAAAGCAACTCGGTACCACTAGGAAATTTCTAATACCCTAACACGGCTTTATCATAACATAAACAGACCACATATGCACAGTTATTGCCAAGTTTTCAAATATGCCAGTCTCTGAAGCTCCCGAGAGGCCCTGCAGGGTAAGCACACAAAGGAAACACTCCCAACAACCATCCCCGACCACTGAAATACGGGAAACTGAGCTGGTTTAGACGAAAGCAAGCTGGTGAAGCCTACAGTGAGGTTCCTGAAAGTAAACACGCATGTTTGAAATTCCACGATTAACTGCGGGCTTGTTCACAAAGCCTGGGGCCAGGAGGAAGCAGGAGCATCCACCCACACACAAAAGAAAAGCTCCAAACTATTCCAAGTTTCCAGCACCCCGGGGTCCCATAAGCCGTGGGCTGGCTGGTACGCTTCGCTTTCCCTCCTTATCCACAAGAGAGCCCCGTGGTGACGTTCCATAACCACTGGTGGGATTTACGG